TCAGTAATGCCTTCCAGGTTTAGCATTTTTCAGACAGATATATCGTGTTTAATTATTCATGCATAATAATTATGTTGATTCTGAAAAGAATTGGCAATATTATATTACCAAATAGGAAAAATTAAAATACATGAATGTCTGGACACGATGCGACTTGATAATGTTTAAGTCGGAAGTCAAGGCATTCCTAACGCTTTCTATACTGTTGGAGTGCTTTCATTAGATTAAAGAAGATTGCGCTGCCAAATGTAAACGTAAAAGAAGAAACGGAGAAGGCGACATATATTGAGCATTTTCTTGAGATTATATTTTGCTAAGTTCCACAAAATCGATCGATTTTGCTTGCTATATCTGATTTCTCTTTCATATCAACGTTGTTGTTCTGCTCTCAACTCTGCACAAAGAAATAGTGCCAATGTATCTGTAAAATTACATGTATTATATATATAATATACATATATATGCGCGTTACATATATTATTATAATTATGAGATAAGTATTATTATATCTATATATAAACAGGCTCGCATTTAATAATGTGCCTATAAATTTATAGGTTTTAACTTTTTTTTTTTTTTTAGGATCTTTGTGTCTTATCCATTTTTTCATTCTTAATAGCCTTCTGCTTGTGTATATGTTATTAGACTGTATATCTCTATATATGTTAAATAGTGTAGTCATATATACATACACACATACACATACATATGTATTATGCTGTATCATATAATTTGCGAATGCAATTAGCTGATTTGTTCTTATCGTTTTCAACGTCTTGTGACTTACTTAAATATTGTGTCTCTATGTTATTATTGCGCATTTAACATGATGTGTTACTGTCTAATTTAATTAAATTAATTCAATTAAGATATAACAAATATTGCAAAGGTTTAGATTTCGATGATTCAGATTCTGATTTTTCTATGGATAGTAAGATAATAATTTAATGAAAACTATAACTATAACTATATATATAAATTACTGCTTATTCTCAGAATCAGACAATCTCATTTAACGTTAAATATGTGAGTATAATTGTATTCTATGTAGTAATTTTTGAATTCTGTGTCATAATAATTACTTTCGAATACATGTTTAATTATAAATCCAGAATTGTCAGATTTCTCTAATACTTTCTTCTAATAGAAAGAATATGTTCTCCAAAGTGATCTGTGAAATTTTGAAACGGGTTATTACGTATGTCGCTTTGCACTGTTTGCAAATGCTAGATTGTTCAGTAATCGCACTGACATATTAATTATTAATGCGTTCTAATAATTTACTAATGTCTGGTATTGTAAAAGTCGATACCACAGTTGAGGTTGTTAGTTCCGCGAAAAAAAAGAGGCTTCTTCGTATCAGAGTAATCTATTATCTTATAAATGATAGATGTATCTTGTTAAAAAACTACAACTATCGTGGCGATAAAATCTTTATTCGAATGCTAAAATTGTTTCAATCATACTAGCATTTTTTTTACGTTTTTATTTATGACGAGGATCTTATGTTCCTATCTTTCATTATGCAGCAATTGTAACTACGCATATATTTTCTTCGATATTGTCTGATAATCAATTTTGCAATTATAAATGTCATCCCCTAATTTTTCTTCGATCTCTAATATTACAAAGTGTTTGATAATGCTGTTGTAATTTATGGTTTAGTATAATTCTATTGTTACACATTAAACGTGTCACACAATTTATTAATTATGCTATCTATATATTCTCTTTGTATTATCTATTTGTTATTCTGCACGAATTGTAAATCGCGTGGACAAAAACATTTGGATTTAAATTAGAAAATGGAACTTAGCAAATTCTCCAATCGATTCCAATTCAAATTATATAATATTTTTTTCTCCTTGTACTAAGGTTTAATGTGTAATACGTTGCGAATCTCGCTTCAATATGAGTATATGTATACTTTCTATATATCTATTTGTGTCTACGTCAATATGTATCTATGTTTTACAGAGATAGCAGAGTGTACACCGTGTATACTCTCACCTTGCAAATATTATGTGAAATTTGTCTCTTTGGCTTCCTGTTTTAAAGTCGGTAAGAATCTTTGTCACTGAGGAATTGTCGTAATTGCACATAACATCGCGTGTAAAATAAATTAACTTACAAATTTTCTCTGTTGGATTGTAAATACGATTATATTGGTGATTTTAACGTTGGACTTTTAGTTAAAAATAATTGGTAAGCATTCTCGTTTTTGTATCGTTTTCATAGATTATTACTTTATAATCTGTTACGAATAAGAACATGTCGAGAAGAATAAATTGTAAAAATTAATTAGTGAAATTTAACAATGTACACAACGTACGTTGCAAAGAACAGAAGTACGTTGCAAAGGTTCTTGCTGATTAATGAATATGTCGAATATTTTTAATCTGAAAGTGAAAATTCCTTTCATTGTATTATATAGGATAAAGGTTGCAGCGTAACGGTCGCCATGGGCTCCCACTTACAGAAACTATTAATAGTAAAATACGTCTTATCGACGTCGAAAAACGTCAGCGGTTTATCGGTATTAGAAAAGAGAGAGAGATTTATTTTAAAGAGGTATCATATATATATATAATTTACCTATTGTTATATATAAGGAACAATATGCATTATGTGCATTATATTTTGTAGAAGTCAGGATTTTAGTACTAGTATAAAGTTTTATACATCTATATATAACATTTCTTTTTTTAACTATATCCATGCGCTCGTATTTTATATGTTATTTAGAATGTCAAGGATTTTATATTAATACTTTTGCAATTTTATTATTTTAAATATTTTGATTATTAAATTCGTTTATTGTTTTGCAAGATAAGATGCTAAAAATTACACGATATTAATACATTAAAATTAAAGAAATCAAAATAAATAAGTTTAAAGAAAGAGAATATCCAGGTTTTTAAAATCTTGGATTGCATTTTTAATTTAACGAAGATTTTTAAAATCTTGGATTGCATTTTTAATTTAACGAAGGATTAATGGTGAACTCTGGAAAATTAGTTGTAACAGAGATACGATTATATCTTACATACGAAGGCTGCAATTTGAAAGAATTATTTTTGTTAATTAGATAAATGTTACAGGATTATCTAAATGACATGACGTGGCGATCGTTTAACAAATTAGTCACTAGATATTGTAATGAAAGTCTTCACGTGTGGAAAATCCATGGAGCCATTCACATGTAAGTTGCTACAAAATTGGTGATATAATACAATCCGTTGTGATAAACTGTTAAACAGTTTAAAAAAAAAGTAAAGCAAAATACACAAATCGGTAGACGGCACATAGTCCCCGTGGTTTGCAAGCGATAAATTTACGTAACACAATTGCAAACGCACAATACGCTATTCTGAGATAATTAAACACTTATTGAATAGTATATTGAGCAACACACAAATATTGTGTTATGTGTAAAATAATTCCAAGAATGTAATATTAAATGTAATTCAGTGTACATTACGTAATTATACGAGACGCTGTATAAATATTTCTAAATATACAAATATATTATGAAATATTTTCCCGAAATTCACATTTCTTTGCTTTTTCTTGCACGATCTCCTTTTAACTTTTGGTAAAATGTTTCAATTACTATTAAAATTATTCTTATATAATGTAAAACATGATATTCAAAGTAGTAGTTAAAAATCATATATTTTATATTGTTGCTTAATTAATGGATCTATATAATTCATAATGAAAAACTTAATTATTTTTAATATTTGCATTTATGTATATGAAAAATATATAACTAATAATTATCAATTACATGTTGACGATGCTGTTCAAATTTGATAGAAATCTCACTGCGTTTCTTTGGAGTAAAATTTTTATGTTTCTTGCTGTATGTGAACTGTAATCATTATTAGAATGTCTTATTATTATGACAGGATACATAAAGTGATTAACAGAAAAGAGAAATAACTTTATATACATACTTCTGTAGATATCTTCGTCATTGTTGTTTTCGCAGTATGCACGATACTTCTCTCAAGAGATAATTGAGGATATATTTTAGGAGACACAATTATTTTTTTAGTAGGCGTAAAATTCGATATGTTATTTTTCAGGCACGATTTAATTTTTACTGGTAACTTTTCCTTTTGATTGCTACATGTTTTCTTGTTTATTGAATCTGCAAAACGATTGCAAAAATAACATTGATGATATTATAAAATAGTACAGTATTGATAAAATTAATATAGCAAGAAGAAATGTTGTATCAATTTATTATAATAGATTTAATATATCATGTTATATAATATCGCCCCAAAATTATACTAAAATAATTACATATACTTCCGCGATTTGTATCATTTGTATGTCGTTTGATTTTATTTACACTATCAAAAATTATTTCGTCATATATTGGTATTGATATCGTCGCAAGTTTGCATGAAGATTCTAAAGGACTTATCAGTCTAAAATCAAAAAAATTTTCGCAAAATTATTATATTTATTGTAGAATATTGATTGTAATGAAATATATAAAAATGTTATAAACGCACTTTATTAATTCTGTAGTCTCATCAGCAATTAATTGTAACTTTCGTAAGTTCATCAAGATACTTTCCATTTCTTGTTTGACATTTTTCTCACGATTTAAGCTAAATATTTCCGCTCTGATGGTATCAATTTCGTTTATAAGATCAGTCAATTCCGAGCTCTTTTCGACATCTAATAGAATTATTTTTTCTTTAATAAAAAAATCTAATCTCTTAAATTTTAATTATTAATCTTTAATGCGTCAATTATACCGTCTTCATCATTGTTTCTTTGCTTTACGCAATGATCAGTTTTTATAACGAAGGGGTAATATTTGAAGATATCAGAGAAATTATGTTTGTGAGAGAATTGCCATATTTGTTCGCAATATGAATCTTCTACTGACCACACTTGATAATTTAATTCCTCCTAAATTAACAAAACACAATTATTTTATTTGAGATATGCGATTTAACAATTCCGTTGTATATCATGGTTAGTATAAATATTGCTGGTAAAATGCAATTTATATGTAGTAATACATGTTTTGTATTCTCGAAAAATCATAAAATTTATTAGGAGAAGATATTTGAGCAAGAGATAAAAAAGCTAAAGCAAGAGATCAATTATTGAAAAAAGCGACTTGCAGATTTAATTTTTACGATTAAATTCATGGTATTCGGAGAGCACAAAAGTTGAAACAAATTGAAAAGAAGAAATTTTTCTCGCAAATTCCATCAGTGAATATTATACATGAACAAGTTTTCTCGGTCAATTTTATACATATACCAGTTTTTGTTTTTCTTCTTTTAATACTTTTTCCTTTTCCACAAAACTATTCTGATACATACTTATTGTATCTTTTATAATCTTTAATTCTACGCTTTTATATCCATATGCGAAAAGAGACTTCGAAGTAGCATTTTTCAAAGTAGCGTTGTTCGTGAAAGCAATATTTTCCGAATTAATCATCTTTGTTATTCGTTATATCATAATATCAATACAAAATATTTGCACTTTGCAGACAAATTTTAATTAGCTTCTTATCAGTGTTCTTCTGGATATTGAAAATTTGAAAAAATAGAATATAGATTATCATCATTGGGCGCGTTCCACTTAACGACCGCAACGCTCACGGTATCATTTTATCCTTGTTGTTCACCAAAAGTTAAACAAAGACAGATGATTCTTGCGAGCGTTGCAGTCGTTAAGTGGAACGCGTCCATTGTCAGGTACTTTTTGTGAAATGTCATTGGATAAGATTTCCGACCAATGAGCACGCATATCGACGCGCGTTAGAAACTACAGCTTTGCGATCATTTGCAAATAAGAGATTCCTCGACATAAACAAAAGTTCAGAATACGAGACACAAAAACGTGATCGTGCAATCGTTCATTTTGAAGTTTCTTTGGTTATGATAAACTGATAAATTAATCATGAGTTCGAATGGTATAAAGCTGTTGAAAAAAACGTGAGTATGCAATTTGTAATGCGAAAGTAAAATATCACGATATAAGAGCGGCAATGTAACGCTTGCAATTCTTCTGATTTATCTTCAAATTTGTAGGGACCCGTTTCCGCAAGGAGTTCGTTGTCAGAAGTGTCTGGAAATGGGACACTGGAGTTACGAATGTAAAGGCAAGAGGAAATACTTGCACAGATCCTCCCGCACATCGCAACTAAAGAAAGCTTTGCAGCAGCAACAGGATGACAATACGTATGTTATCTAAATTCTTTTTATTATGTATAAATAATGTTTCCCTTGACAAATCATGCTTTTTGAAATACTTGGAAAAGATAACGAGTACAGGAAAAAATATTTTGGTATCAAGGATATTATTCATCAAATTAGATAATGTTTCTACTCTTTTTTTTTAAAGATATATGCATAAAATAAAATGTGCAATAAATAAAATATATCCAAAGTTAAAGATGTCAAACATTTTTGATCTTGATATAGAGATGAAGTATTATCTACATTATCTATATTTGAATAAGTTTAACAGACTTTGAATATATTGTATTTTTAGTCAGGTGCAAAATAGGGAAACAAAAAAGAAGCATGTCAGAAAGAAAATGAGGAAGGAAGAATCCAGCAGTTCGAGTGACTCGAGTTCTTCTAGCAGTGAAGATTCTAGTAGTAGTAAAAATAGTAGCAGCAGTTCATCATCAGATAGCGAATCGGACTCTAGCGATAGTGTATCTAGTAGTAGTAGTAGTAGTAGTAATAGCAGTAGCAGTAGCAGTACTAGTAGTAGCAGTTACAACTCCCATAAAAAATAGCACAGATCGCACAATAAGAAAAAAGTCCTTTCTGATTACTCTATCATGTTTTTTTATATAATAATTATTGTTCTATGCAAAATCAGTTTGCCACCAAACAAATTTGATGAAAAAAGAAAGCAAAAATCAAAACAAAAAAATACAGAATATCTGTGAGAAATTTGTTTCGTTTGCTGTATAAGTACACATATGTGATTTGTAAAATTAAGTATTTTTTCTCGCAAATTAATCTGTATATAAAATGCTTGATTAAAGTAAGATCTTTTTTTCAGTAAGCTTATTTTTTAATTGCTTAACTATCATTAAAATTATTTGTGACATTTCTGTAAAATCAATTTTTATATATGTATATTGATGTACACAACCTTATTATATAGGTATAGATATGAAATATGTATACTGATACATATGTAGCTTATAAGATTTTTTCATCACAAGATCTAAAGTATAAATTTTCTTGCATTACATTAATCATGTTATTATTTTCATAAAACTTTTAAAAATTTTGATATTGAATGTAATTGTGAAGATCTATTGCTAGTTATTATACAGAGTGGATATTTAAATATAATGCATTATTTTTGCTACTATTGCATGCGCACTTAAATATAACAGAACGAAAAATGTTTAATTTGTTATGAATATAATTTAATGTATTTAATGATGGAATATCGCAATAATTATGTAACAGTGTTCAACAATGACATGGAACAAATTAATCACTATTATATCATGCATTTCAATGCAATATAAAAATTTTACACAAAATAAAAAAAGTTGTTATACATATATATTTAATTCAAATATTCATGTGCAAAAATATAACATCGCTTTTTTCCAGATCAATCTTCGATACCTTCAGGCAGAGTCTGTACTATTACTTTCCTCCTTGGTTCGTAAACGAAATTATTTGTCTTGAATATGTCGCTCTCATAAAATGTATGCAAATTGTGTATGTCAATTTGTTTTGCCTGCAACTCATAAACCATTAATATCAATGTAAAATGTGCTAAAATAAGCTTTATTAATAAGTTTTTATTTCTTATATAAAGATACAAAAAAGTGAATGAAAGTTATAAGAACTGGATATTTGAATAAAAAGATTTTTATATATATTTGTAATGTTAAAAATAATGAAGAGACATAAGATTTATGTATAAATTAGATATGAAAACAAGATAAAAATCTTTTTAGCCCAAACCGTTGAAATAATTTGCTGTTTATTATATACTTTGTTAACTCAATGTTATTTTCAAATTGAACTTAAATCCTTTAATTACCCGTTCCAATAGATCCTTTTCTGAAATTTCGACAGTCGTAATACGTCCGCCATGCAAAGCTTTTTGAAACGCTAAAGTATCTAAAGTGATTTGTCGTAGTATGTAATATAGGAGTTCACCATGATCTTTCTTATATGACAGATATTTCTGGAACGTCTGTAATGAAATTTACATATGTATTAGAAAAAAATTAGATTTTTTCAGATTGAAGTTACACATGAAAAAAAGAAACTAAAGAGATACCTGGCGCATAGATTTCATAACAGAATACTTTTGCGTATCTACAAAACTGTCGAGAACTATTCTGATGGCGAGATTCATATCACTTTCTTGAACATGATCTCTTAAGTGCATTTTGGCACTAGCTTCTGCCATACGAATAATACTTTCTATATGACGTACGGTAATCGGCAAGCTTCCGGTCGCCTGTAATGTAATAACGATATATGCAACATGTAAAACTTCTTAACATTTAAAAATAGTGTTTATATATAATATATATTTTCTTAATCGTTTATCCAAAATTATTCAAGAATATATATAAATAGGTAGGCATTTTTGTTTTACTGACTTACCAAGCTTTCCTGCCTCAACTGACTATATAATTTAGCAACTTTATCTTGATCAATATTAGCCAGCTTCGGATGTACGTTCTGTTTTGCGTAAACGATATACTTTTTGAGAAGGTCTTGTGGAATACATAGACTTTGCGTGACGGGATCCAACTCTACGCTCTGTGTTCTCTCCGTGCTTGTCGGATGATGCTTAATGTGCGAGTTAACGACAAATTTGGCCAGATGACGATCCTGCATAGGATCGATCTCATCTTTGACTATACACAACACATCGAATCGTGAGAGAATCGGTTCCGACAGATCCACCTGCATAAAATTTTATAAGTAATGATTTTATATGAGAAAGCAGAATTAAAAGATGTTACAAATGCATACATTTTCTGCAAAGGTCATACTAGGATCGTATCGACCACCGATAGGATTAGATGCTGCTATCACTGCGCATCTGGCATGAAGAGACGTAACGATACCAGCCTTCGAGATAGAAATACTTTGCTGTTCCATAGCTTCGTGGATAGACGTTCTGTCCTGATCGTTCATCTAAGAAAAATAGAAGGAACAATGTACCTTTAATAATTATTCCTAACTGTAGTGTAAATTTTATAAAAAAAGTAATATTATAAGTTATACATATACATACATATATATATGTGCAATGTATGCCTATATATTAAAATAAATAATCTATATTGATATTATATTAAAATTATAAATGTTAATTATTAATAATAATTATTGACAATAATTATTAAAATATTTACATTGATATTTATATTATCAATATATTTTTTTATACTAACATACATATATGTTACTATAGTTATATATAAATTATATAAATATGTACTTTGTCGAATTCATCGATGAGACATATTCCGTGATCGGCAAGGACCAAAGCTCCAGCTTCTAAGGTCCATTCTTTACTGACGGGCGATCTCCTTACATAAGCAGTCAAACCAACAGCCGAAGCACCTTGACCTGTCGTGAAAACCACTCTAGGTGCCACCTTTTCCACATATTTCAAAAACTGCGATTTAGCAGTGCCAGGATCTCCGCACAACAGGACATTTATGTCACCGCGAACCTTATGCTTGTTGCCTGCATATTGCAATATTCAATATAAACAATGAAAGAGAGCATATCTTCAGATTTATAAAATGATTGAAATTCAAAATAAGTACCAGGATTTTTTGGTTCGCCACCGAATATTGTCAGTGCCAAAGCTCTTTTAATATTCTCGTGTCCATAGATCGAAGGCGCGATACTCGCGACAATGCGATCTGCAATTCGCTGGTCTTTACTCAGAGCGAGTATACTCGAAATATCCTCTTCCGTCAATGAGTCTACAATTTCTTTCGAATCTTTGACGAATAAATGATTAGCTAACAGCACTGTGGAGAATACTGGGAAACCCTAAGAAACATAATAGAAACATAATAAATTACATAATAAATTAGGAAACTTTCTCTTATAAAAATTATAAAGGATTATTATTCTAAGATGTATGCTGTAGAGAGATTAGAATAAATACTAGGAAACACTATGAGATGTAATTAATTATCTATAATATGAGTTGAAAATTTAATTTTACCTGTTCAGTATTTAAAGAACCATCGTAATTATTTGTGTAAATAGCAGTAACATCTATCTCATCTCCAGGTTTGCAACGATCACAAAGATCAGATAGCAGAATGCAATCTTTGCTACGCGGTATTCTGCCAGCGGGTATTCTACCCGGTGATTCTTGTACCGTTATCTTTTGATAGTTTCTGTATATAGTTTGCTCCATATTGATCTAAAAGATTTATAATTATGTGCACACAAATAAGAATAATATATTTTAAGTAATAAAATGGCAATAAGTCTAAAGAATTTTGATTTACCATGAATGGACCAATACTTTGACACTCAGGACACGAGCCCGGTTTGACTTCTGTGTTTTGGGATTGAACAAACGGTCCGAGAACGTAACCGCATTTCGTACAATCGTATTTCACTACCGATAATTGTGGTAAGACTCCCGTAGTCGCTGTTACAACTCCAAGAGTTCGAACTAATTGATTCAAGTGGAGTTTTCTATTATAACGAAGTAAAAGCAACATTATTTTAATATATCGTTTGCATTGTTGTGCATAAGCTAAATAAAATGATATTAATTAGTTGAAATAAATATTAAATATACATCTTTACCTGAATGTGCGTAATTCTTCGATCAATGGCAATTCCGATATTCTCACGTGAATTTCTGACGTGACTCTCTCATAACTGGGGAAAATTGTCAACACCAATTCTTTTGCAACTTCGTCGAATATCTCGAGCATTTGAAACGGTGCCTCTGGTAAAAAATAGGCCAAAACATGTTCCTTACTGGCAAGAATGGGAAATTCCACTATGAAACTGGACTATTGAAATAAAGAAACACAAGAACTTTGTGAAATAAAAATATTGTTAAGTAATTTGATATCATGAAATAAAAATAATTATTACATTTTTATAAAAATAAGAAAAAGAAATCTTATATTAAAAAAATATAAAATATTAACATTTTTATCCTCAAGTATAAAATAAAATTATTTTACAATTCCAAAGTTTATCATGAATAAATTAAAAATATAATTAAGAAAAGTTTTAAATTACAGCTTTTTATTAGAATTATACATATATATATGCAAGATTTGATATACCTGATTACTCTCACACATATGGCGAATACGCTCTTTATACATATATTGTCCCTTGGAATTTGTATGAGTGCGAAGAAAGCTTTTAAAGCGATTCGAAATTTCTGTTCGTGGTCCTAGCATCATCACCCATTCCTTCACTGAGTGTCCTTTAGTATCCTCTAAGTTTTCAATGGATTCAATCATCTGAAATAAAGAAGAAAACATTACTAAATGATTACATAATACTTATACATAATATGGAAAGATTATTACTTCTGCATCTTCCATTATGCCAGCAGCAGCCTTTTCAGCCATACGTCGTTTGCGTGCTTGTACATCTTCTTCATCACTTTCATCTAGAAGAATAAAAAAAAATATCGGTTTTTGAAAAATATTCCATAATTTTATAAGCACATTTCTTTGGCTTTTATAAATTGTTGGATATTAGAATTGACTTAGTTTTATTTTATAATTTATAATTGATGATTTATAATTTGTTCTGTACTTTGAATAGAAAATGATAAAAAGTTACCATAAAGCAGATCACGATCATCTCTTACAATACCAGCTACACGATCTCTTTTTCGCATTTCTGTTTCTGCAGCTACACGTTCACCCTGAGACAATTCTGAGTATTCTGAATCATCAAGTAGATTGGGATCGTATCTATCCAATGCTGACATAGGTCGATAATCCCTGTCATAAGAGAAAGAAAACTTTTATTATTGTCGCATTCTAATATTTCTTTTTCTGTTTTACACATAAAATATACATGAAATATTTTAATATTTATTTAATTCTTTTAAATATCAAATATTAGTTTAGGTATAGATTATAAGTTATTACTTTTCCCATGTGTGTTATATCAAAACTAATATTTGAAAAATATAAAATCCTTACGCCTCCATATTATCTCCGAATAATTCCTCTCCCTCCTCCTCTTCCTCATTATTAGCATCATTATCTTCACCAAGTAACTCAGATTCATCTTCAAATGGTTCATCTATATTAGGTGCAGGAGATGTCATTGCATCAGTGTGTCGTTCGGAACGTACAGGAGAACTTTGTTGACTCTAGTAAATACATATGAAATTAAATGTTATTTCATTTTTCCTAATTACAAAAATATACAGTATATTATATTACTATTCAATACATGTATGCTGCATATATATGTAATGTAAACATAAATAATATATTACATTAATATATAGCTTTGCTTCTTTTTATAAATTATATATGTAATATATTAAATACACGTATAACGTATTCTACAAAGATCAGTAAAGATGTTTTATTTGTATCCATAATTGTTACTTATTTTATTCATTTATATACACTTTACCATGTTGTTTCCGATATGCTTTTGCCAGCAGAGAAACCGTTCTTTTTATATTATTGCGAGAAGCTCCGTACAATTATGACTGACGTAAATCAGCGTTTTCTTTGTAGTTATTATAATAAAATTGAGAAACTGAGAATATATATCAAATCATCAAACACAAGCTGCACAAGCCATCAACATAAAGTAGCTGAAAAATATTACATTTGGCGGGAAAATCTTTGTAAAGTAGGTAAGGTAAAAGTACAAAAGCTATAGCTTTGTCGCAGACTTTCAGTAGTAAAGAAAGGTATGTGTATGAGTGAAATTTCTAACCAATAGAATGTGCATGTCCAGAATTGACAAATCAGGTTTCATATAACTAGTTGAATATCTAGATATTTGTAAATTTTTGTATACTTTCTTTCATTTGCACCGCCTTTTATTATAGACAACTTTTTTATACACATGAATTTTAAGTTAGAATTCAAACCGCAAAAATTTAAGCTCTCAAATATGAGTAAAATATCAGGCGGACATAATTATAAGAAAAAGTACGAATTAAAATTTTAAGTTTTGCAATATTTCAAAAATTTTAATTTTATTAATTATTATCTTTTTTCGTTAATGTTATATCAACAAGACTATGATGAGTTAATTGTCGCTATAATTCAAATAATCTTTATAATCATATAACTTATAAACGAGACAAATCATGTTTTTAGAAAGAGATTATGATTTCGGCTTGTATATATAATTAAATTAAATCTTTAAAATCTAGATTCACATATACATATATATTTCATTTTATCTGAAACATATTAATTTTTTTATCAATACATACAAACATACAAAAAATTTTTATGTTCAAACATGATATAATTTTTATTACAAAATATAAAACTTATAATATCTAATAAAATTTGTATTAGGTATACACTACATTATACATTACGTATAACAATTGTGTTTGATATACATGAGATTATAATAAAATTATAATATTTCGAGACACTCTCTCTATCTCTCATCCTGGACACTTTGTACGTATAAAAAACCAGTTTGTCGATATAAAAAATGTAGTTTGAATACTGCAGACTTACAATTAAGATAAGTGTATTATAATATCATAAAAACTATTTATTCTCTCACAACATTTTAACTTATTAAAATTATATAAATTTAAATCTCTGGTATAAGACGATGTATTAAAATGATAAAAATGATGAAATCTATTTTCTATAAGAGTCTGCTTACATATATATATTTAACCAAAGCACGAGATTTCATAGTAACATAATATGAGATACAGACTCATTCCTAAAGTTATCATAAATTATATATTTGTATTTATAGTTGTTGCTGCTTGTAAGATATATTAGGATTTTAACTTATGTTTTCAGTTATAGCAAGATTTAAATTTATATTATTAATATATATTCTACAAATATACTTATCACATATTCATGTATTTATCATGTTTCAATTTTTAATCATGAATTATGTAAGACTAGAGAAAAACATGTGGATCAGATTATAGGAAAATGGAATGACACAAAATAAATTTGCGATAATAAAACTATACTCAATACAAAGTATCATTGAGTTCTGACACATTACTACCACTTCTACTTGCATTACTAGACAACTGCAATTTTGACACTTTCTCCAACATGTAGTCATCATCTGTAACAATCAACATGACAAATGAGTAAGCTGGAGAAATTTGCATGCAAATTGAAATTATGTCTAATTTTTACATTAAACATACATTTTACATATGTGTGTGTGTGCACATAATTATATTAATGTATATTAATTATACTAATTACATTAATTTAATATAAATTAATATAAATTTTTATTTTTTTATATATCTTTTTCTAATTATTTCATTATTACCTGATTCATTATCGCTCTGTTGGCGAGGTGAAAATTTACATCCTCGTGCTACATAATACTTCAATTTGCCTACACTGGCTAAAATTAAACCGAGGAACGGCGGTGAGGGTTTTAAAGGCCTTGATAGATACTCAGGATGAAACTGTGTAGCTACATAATAACTATGTCCTTCCAATTCTGCGATTTCCATTCGTATATTTTCATCGTCATCACGACCTATTAAAAAAATGTTAGACCATACAGTATATATTATCTTAATTATGTATAATTAAGATTGCCTATTATATTTACCAAAACTATAACTTTATTGTGTGTGAAAAAATGCAATATAACTCACCTACAAATTTTAAACCAGCTGCTTCTAAATCTGGAACATAATCCGGATTTATTTCGTATCTATGCCTATGTCTTTCTTCTATGACATCTTTATTGTCATACAATTTCTCTGCACAGAAAAATATTAAAATAAATTGATCTCAAGTTGAAACATGGATTCTAGTACTTACTTAGGACAGAATTATTGTTGCAAAAACGCGTTTGTCTCTTGCCAAGCCTCATAGTTCCCCCCATAATTCCCTGATTGTGCTCTGGCATGTCTATTACCACAGGACTACTAGTATGTGGATCAATTTCTGTAGAGTTCGCCGATTGGAGATTCAATACGTTTCGCGCGAATTCAATGACTGCCGCTTGTAGACCCAGACAGATGCCGAGAAACGGTTTGTTGTTTGTTCTGCACCATCGACAGGCCTCCATCTTTCCTTGCAATCCCCTTTTACCAAAGCCACCTGGTACAATAATGCCACTAAACACAACAAATGTATCTTCATTAAAAATTATGAATATAAGAGATGTACAGAACCATAAAAATATATTGAAATACTTGCCTGCTTTTACAAAGCTGTTGCCAAGCCTCATGATACAAGACTGGATTTTCCATTAATGTAATTTGCTCTAGATTAGCAGCTTCAATAAACTGCAATAATATTATTGCATAATCATTCAAAAAATAATAGTACAATATGTGTGATTATGTAATATGTATAAAATTATATATATTTCAAATAATTACGACATAGTACCGTCAATTTCAATTTATAACCGGCCTCAATGGCAGCATGTTGTAACGCTTTTGTAACAGAAGCATAAGAATCCTCGAGTTTTGTATATTTGCCCACTAGAGCGATGTTAACATCTTTCCGCAAATGATCCACGTGATCAGCTAAATCTCGCCATTTTCGCATAAAGGAACGCGGGCGCGGTATTCCGATATTCAGTTGCAATCGATCATTGAGAAACTCTATAACGCCTTGATACTCCATAAGAAGTGGTACTCGGTATATGGATGTTAAGTCGTGAATAGTGATGACCTGATCAAAATATTTGATGTCATTTAATATTGATATCAATTAATTACTTACTTTCAAACAATTAACAATTTTCATTAATCAATTACGATACAGTTTATTTCTTCATTAAAAATATTTTTGATAATTACCTGCTCTGGAGCGACATGACAGAAATTTGAAATTTTTTCCTTGGCAGAATTGCCAATAGGCGTTTCCGATCTACAAACTATTAGATCGGGTGATAAACCTAATCCACGTAACTCCCTCACACTAGATTGCGTTGGTTTCGTTTTGGGTTCGCCCGTTGATTTTGGCTAAAAAGTATTTTATGTCTTATTATTCAATCTCTCTAATTATTCAGAAATTATCTTCGCAAAAACGCTTAGGGAGTTTCACAAAAATTAATCATGCATTTATTATTGTATACACATAAAATATAGAAGAGATATGTAAACGGGAATGTAACCTGTGTGTAAAGATTGTAGGCATGTAACGCAGTTACCTGCGGCACTAAAGACACATGGGCAACACAGAAGTTTTCTTTCTTCACTCTAAATTGAAATTGCCTAAATGCTTCTACAAACGGCATCCCCTCTATGTCGCCTATTGTGCCACCCAATTCCACTATGCAAACCTGTAAAGGATTATTAATAAATTATGTAATTAGAATTGTATCACAAATATATAAAGAATATTATGTAAATTAATATTTTTGCATATCTTATGGAATTATGTAACATTATATATTATAATAATTCATATTATTAGCAATACCTCTGGTTTAGCTCCATCTTCTGTTACAGACTGATTCGCAACTCTTTCCACCCACTCCTGAATAGCATCAGTGATGTGAGGTACAACTAAAAAATAATATCGATTTTTATTAATTTGTGCAACATATTGTGTTTTTCTCTCTCTCTCTCTCCCTCTCTCTTTCTTATATATAAATATGCAATATTACATAGATAGAGATATACCTTGTACTGTTTTTCCTAGGTAATCTCCATGTCTCTCTTTTGTGATAACATGTTGATAAATTTTTCCTGTTGTTATATTATTGTCCTTATGAAGAGTGATATCCAGAAAACGCTCGTAATTGCCCAAATCAAGATCCACTTCACCACCATCATCGAGTACATAAACTTCTCCTGTTATACAGAGCAAACAAAAACTTTGCAGTAAGTAAAATAAGCAAAATTAAAAAACTAACAGCGGATGTGTCTATAGAAAACCAGTAACATAAGATGTTTCTCTTCGAAGAATGCTTTTACCGCTTACTTGACTGAACAATGGAATGTGGTGATAAGCATCAAGTTTCATTGGACATTAGAAACCATTTCTAAAGGATGAATGAAATTATGCAAACATATTTATATAACAATTACTATATTCTAATAATTAAAATAATTCGTTGATCAACAATTTTTAATTGTTCAGTCACAGTTGATTGTTTCAGATATATTATTAAACTTTATCTGTATAATAGTTGAAACTATATGAGAAATAATTTAGTACTAATTTGATAGTATATGCAATTAATTTAATCATATATAATTTTACAGAAAATGTTAAAAATGTTATTGTATTACTTTAATTTTATTAATAATATATAATACAATTATATAATTTTTAAAAATAAGGCTTATACATAAATTTTAATATAAATTCTAATGTTAATTTTTTTTTGATTATGCTTTTTCTCTCCAGCTCTACATTTTCTATTTACATTTTTTGAATATAGGAAATGCATGTATAGAACCGGAAGATGCCTAAAAACATATTCAGACGGATTCGTATAGTGTAGAATATTTGCATAGAGAAATAAATTAATTTGGGGCTTAAAATAAATATTCTTCTATTATTGCATTATATATATATATATATATATATATATATATATATATATATATATATATATGTGAGATATATTAGATAGAACCCTCGCATTTAGCTTATTAGCGGGTGAGACGAGACGATCTTTCCAAAAGGAGGGAAAAGTTTTAATCGAGCTTGGATGCCTATATAGCACGATGTGATTATCAGAAATACGTAAATTATTTCATTAATACTTGTATATATATATATATATATGCGTGATTAATTTTATTTGTGTACATATATATTTTATATAGCTATAAAAACTCATCTGACCTCATTCGATAAATCTTAATTGTTAAATAGCGTGGCGGCAGCATGCAAAATGGCGCAAGCACATGGCTGAAAATTTTACCGCCATAAAGGCTTCACGCTTCACCTATCGTGGCATTTAATTTAGAGATTTTTGTTTAATTTTATCACACAATTATATGGTTTATCCAGATAAAAAATTTTGTAATTCGTTTCTTTTCTATCGATAATCAAAAAATAGACAGAAAACAGAGATAGAAATATCGGCAAGACGATTTGAATTAAACCTCGCGCAACACGTGTATATATATGTGTAATCCTTTATAAAATATCTTTTAATAAATTATATTCAAATGAAAAAAAATTTGCTATTTTTTTTAAATAAATTTGTAATATTAAGAAACGGGAAATCAGGAGCTAGAATCGCGGAAGAAGCGATCTCTACGCGATAACGTGCAACTGCTGCGATCGCAATAAAGTCCATTTTCCCGTATCTATAGCACAGGAAATTGAACTCAATTTTATACCGATCGATATCAAACATGCTAACGAAAAAACCGCTGTTTTTTCAGATATGTATTATGGCACAGTGATGTGCAGAAATTAACATCGCCCTCACCGTGCTCGTAGGGCGAGAATGTCCCGGCATCGATATTGATATAAGGATCAATCTTGATGGATGTCACGCGAATGTTACAGTGTTTGAGGATAGTGCCGAACGAGCTGGCGATGACACCCTTGCCCACGCCGCTGATCACACCGCCGGTCACCAGAATATACTTCATGACTTGGCTAGTTGATTCTCGATGATTTGAGATGAATATGGATACTCCGCACTCCGCTACAAGTTTGCAAATGTCGTACAACTTAGACCTGAATTGAACCAAACCTAACACTGCACTGTATAAATCGCATCACGGTACGTAAAGTATAGCGGACAGCGCGATATGCCCGCGCTTGCGCGCTGCGGGATTTTTATAGATAGACCGGGTCCCAGGGTAAGTTTTGGATATAACGGTGCCCTGAGCCTCGAATTTATTTTTTTCACCTGTTCTTGCTGTACAATTGATTTATATTATCCAGTAAATAAATTCTGCTAGCAGACTGATTATAAATTCGAGTAGAAATTGTAGCTGTCAAACATAAGTTTTTGTATCTTTAGCAAACCTGCAGATTTGACAATTATATTGAGGGCACAAACTATCGGGAAAAACCTCTGTCAAATCGACAGAATTTTATTTCGTTTGTATCATATCTTTTTTTTTCATTTCCCTGCTTTTCTCATACTCGATACGATACACGATTGTCCAAAAGATATTGTCTATGGCTAAACGATAACTTCGATTTTTGGACAAACGAGCGTAGCGCTCGATAGGAAATATTTGGAAGTTTGTCTGCGCAGTCGGTATGGTCGATATCATCTAATCCATACAACCGCATGGTCATCTATATATACGCACTTTTCGCGGCTGACGCAACGCGTAATAGCACATATCCAGGGCGTAACATGTGTGCGTGTATACAACTGTATACAACACAGTGAGAATCTGTGAGAATTAAGTGAATCGTGCGTGAATGCGCTCGTGACACCTCGAAATGTCAAATTCGGCGAAGATTCACGGCAAGTACCATTTATCCCCGCGTGATAAAGGATACGCCTACTCGCGCATATTTCACAGCTGCATTCGCCCACTCGTGTCGTAAATGTAAATATTTACATAGAGTGAAAGTATATAGCGTTCCATTATCTAGTACATATATACTGTACCCAGATCAGGACGACGAAAAAAAAAAAAAAAAAAAGAAAAAGAAATCTCGTATCGGTTTGGCCACCCTCTCCCTTCCCCTAACATAGAGACGCGACGCGAACAATATCCGCAATTAGTTGCCACATAAAACTGTACTTTGCCGTGCTTCCTGCATATTTATGATGACGGGAAATAGGGCTTGATTCTCTCTACGTGGACGTTTAACTACCGTAAACTGTCAATTGCGAAGTAGGCGTAAATAGGTACGCTATAGTGTGTGGCGTGCGATGAAACAACGTAAGATATACATCCATTCGATGAATCAATGTTTATTTTGAGTGTACGAATCTGATACAAATATTGAGATAGTTGGCTAACGGAATTATTTCACATGTTACTTGCCCTGTTTGTGTTTTCTGACATGTTATGTATTTACATATTACATATAGTATTACACACACATATTTAGGGTAATATATTTTGTGTATCCTTCTGTCTGAAACATGATACGGAATTTCTATTTTATGCTAGTTTGTAACGCTAGCTGCGATTTTTTCCATTAAAAATTAATATTTAACAATAAAATACAATATTTAACAATAAAATATATTGCGAATTTAAAAAAGATGCAATTGTATGATAATTACATAGTAATATTATGTCATTCTATGCAATTGACACTATGTGCTCATTTGGTTTCATAGCTTTTCAATTTACTAATAAATATGTTTATATTAACGAACAATATTATTCAGAAGAGTAGAAAGATGCTATGGCTGCCACGGCTACATCGCGTAATGATGAGGAGGAGTTGAATGGGGAAACTGAATCAGAGGCCAGTAGTATATACCAATGTGGTTCGGTAATCTCCACCGTACCTGATCGTCATGGATTCCTAGGTGGTTCGCAATACAGTCCTGAAAGGTGATTGCGATTAATCCTGTAATGTGGCAAGGAAGCTATCTCAGTAAAATAACTATTGATCACATAGGAAGCAATCCATACCACCCGATGTGATACTGCGAAGAGAAAGAAAATGGATACAGATGCTGAATAATTGGAGCCTTTTCATGACAACCAATTATCGCAAAGTCCGCGAGAGATGTCGAAAAGGTATACCGCCTTCCGTGAGACTGCGCGCCTGGTTGAATCTCTGCGGCGGTCAGCTTCTAATGAACGAGAATCCAAACTTGTACGAAGAACTGATCAAACGGCCCGGCGATCCTAAATACATAGAGGATATAAAAAAAGATCTTCATCGTCAATTTCCGCATCATGAGATGTTCGTCGAGAACGCTCCTGGGCAGCAAGAACTGTTCCAGGTCCTCAAGGCGTACTCCATTCTGAACAGTAAAGTAGGTTACTGCCAAGCTCAAGCGCCTATCGCTGCGTTTCTGCTGATGCACATGCCGGCGGTACAAGCGTTTTGGTGCCTCGTCGCGATATGCGACAAATATCTCGTTGGATATTACAGTCAGGGCATGGAAACATTGTTGCGTGATGGAGATATTCTGTTTGCTCTTCTGAAGAGAGTCTCTCCTGTCGCATATAAGCATTTAGTTAGTACATTCAAGTTATTGTAAAATTTCTTGTTTTAAAAACTATTTGTTTATTTATATTTTGAGAATATCAAAAATGAATATTTTAACTATATATGATAAAAGAGAATTCTACTGTAGCTATTAAAACAATACTTTTGTGTTTCTTGAAAAAGTGTGTATATATATATATATTAAAAGAATATCTCAGAGTAATATTGTCTAAAATAACCAATTCAATTTTATTATTGTTATAGATTGATGATATAATCACATACATATACATACACAGATAAATAATTAAATATTATCATTTCAGAAAAAACAAAAAATGGAACCAATTCTGTATATGACGGAATGGTTCTTATGCGTTTACACGCGTACGTTGCCGTGGGAAAGTATTTTGCGCATATGGGACATGTTCCTTTGTGAAGGCGTAAAAGTGATTTTCAAAGTAGGCCTGGTATTGTTGAAGGGTAGTCTGGGTCGCACATCCTTCGTTAAGCGTTGCCCGACGACATATGAAACTCTCCAAGTTCTAAGAAACCCGTCCCAACATATCATGGAAGAGGAAGCTTTAATCTATCAAGTAAATATTAATTTTTTTAATATATGTATGTGTGTCAAAATCAGTAAAAATTTAAATATATACGCAGCTGCAAAAATCTTTACAGGGAATACTTGGATCATATTTGTGTATGTGATAGAAGAGATTATATACAAAAAATTTTGTTACATGACTATAATTTAATGTTGCAGATTCAGAGGTTGAACTTGAGCGAGGAGGATTTTGAGTATGAGCATCAGAGGCAAATGTTGAAAAGAAAGGCAGCAGATAAAGAAACTGCCAATCGAACTGACTAACAATTAAGTAGTTAGACCGAAATATGGGGTGAAATATATATTTAATATATAATGTCCCAATATGTGCCTTCCCTTCCATTCTTCTGGTACTGTACAGATTCTACGATTTGTATCTCTTCCTATCGCGAAGCGGAGAGATATAGTGAAAACTGATAGGTATGTATATTTGCAAGATAGAAAGAGATTTTCATATACTTCGTCCATGCATACATACATACGTCCACATTCCCCGAGCAGTCAGAGTGCACTATTTATCTTTATTTCTTTTATTATTATTGTACTACAAAAGAGAGCACAACATTTGTAGACTCGCATAATACTATTTAATATTTTCATTATCGACATATGTTTAATTACTGATGATCTTCGGTGGTCAATATACTATACCAATATTTATATATATGTACAAAAATTTATTTCATTTTTAAATAAACGTTATAGTATATGATAATGTTATATACAATACTACATAAATAAATATTATCTTTTGTTAATGTCAATCTTATATTAATTCTTATCAATTAAATATATGATGTTAATTAATTCTAGATTTTTTTCTCTATATATGTCTTTATATAAATATATATATATTTAAATTCCTGACAAAATACGGACTATAATTTTTGTCTCACTAATACGTTTAATATACTATTTTATATTAATATATACATTAAATATTCCTTTCCTTACATGCGTAATTTTTCTTTTACGATCGGTTCAAATATTTGTGCAAACTGTAACTAATATATTTGCTGATATTTCCAACATTTTTGATCAAAATATAATAATTTTTATTTTACACGATATCACACGTATTCTCAGCTAGCTGTGCTGAAATTCTTCCAACGATTACGTCCGTCTATGGCATTCATCACGAAAGTTGTTAGACGCAAAAAATCGTCGTTGTCCGCTACTCGTGCATTAAAAAGATCCAAGTGCGGCAATTTCGGTAGAAATAGTACACCCATCATGAACAGAACAGCCATGCTGATAAACGTGCCGATCGCTAAAAAGAGCGGATTCATAAGTTGCTTCTGAGTGTTCTCCGTGGTTTCTGTGGCCGCGTACATTGGAACGAGCTGAAAAGAAAAACGCAAACCACACGTATTCATTCTGATTTTTGTACGAAAAAAATTGGTATAATAACAGATACAAAATATGGAATAACCGTGAATATACTTTTTTTCTTAATAAACGTTGGAGATTTACACGTATAATTAATGAAATTCGAATATAAAGATATAATACACGGAGAGCATCCAAAAATTTGCGTCTATGCTTTTTTCATAATCTAAATTTTTAATATATATAATACGAGTATGTATAAAAATTTAATTATAATGTAATATAAATTTGTTTATCTTTTATATAATTCTCTTTGTTACTGAAAATACTACTGCATATCGACATTTCATATGCATGAGAAATGATTTCTAGCAATTTCTCGTGCTGGCGATTCTCGATGTTTTGCATAATATCATCGACATAAAACATGAATATACTGTACGCTGGCATAAATGTCTGATTGTATACCAGGTGGTCGAAAAAATCCCGACTTTCGCTTAATGGCGCAACAGATTCAGGATTCTCCCTTACCGCAGTCTGCTGATGATCTCCCTGCAACTCGGACGCGAAACTCTTGAGCGGAAAGTAGTAATAGTTGTACAACGGGTATTTAACCGGTAACTGCAGGTGACCGACCTGCGCGTTGCCGTTGCCGCCCGCGGCATTCAATGCCTGCGTCAAAGCTGCGACGCTGATTGCTGACCCTTTTTCCAAGGCCTGTTTATACAACGCGGCCAGTTTTGCTCGCGTGAGCACCAGCGGCTCCGGCTGTTTTACCTTCGGATAACTAGCCGCGGCAGTGGGATCGCGTATCTGAAAAATTTGCGAACATCAGTGCCTTGACAAATTAAGAAGGAACGATTGTAGAAATTGATATATATTAGCATTCTGAAAAATTAAAAATATAAATAGAAGAGAGATAGATAGAAAAGATAGTAAAAAAATATCAAAAATTAAGAACATAAACTAAGAAAATTCCTATAAATTTTTTAAAAATTTATTTTGTAATGAGTGGCACTTTTTTTATTTTTATTAATTAGATTCATTCAAGTACCGCGTAATATTGTACTATATTGTTTGCGGCAGACTGCGCTTGTTCGGCAATTGCATTATTCGCGATCGGTTTTTCCTGATGCCTGATGTCCTGATGAGCATTATTAGTGCTGAGCTTGCGATGTGCATTGTCCTGGCTGTGTCCGTCCTGATAGCCGGCATATTGATAATGATTCACCGATAATCGATCATGCATCGTAATGCTATTAGACGGCACATTTAGTTCCTGAAGCTCGATCATTGCCTTTTGAAGATACTCTCCACTCGTTTCGGCGCCGCACAATCGAGTGACAATGATCAATAATATTAATGCGGCGAACCACGAAGACGGCTTTGATCTTCGCAATGAATTCATATTGAATCGCTCTTATGGGCTTTTAGCACTTATCGAGCAAAAGGATTTAACGGTTTCTTAATTAATGTCTTTCTCTCATTGTTCGTGTAATCATTTCTTGATGAAACATTCAGAACGTATCTAATATATACCTCTATTTATTAATAGTAATTATCAAGAATATTTTAGTTAATGAAATTTTTATATTATTCCATTTTTTAAAAATTTTTTATAAATTATTTAACATTAAATGTTATAGCGTGCATATTGTATTGGAACATTACTATGAATAATTGAATACTCGAAAATTTTATGAAAATAATTAAAATTGATTAAAGTTGATTATTATATCAACGTTTGTTCTCTATCATAATGAAGTCTTTACAAAAAAAAGGATCTTACATATCTAAAATTTAATTTAGAAAATCTTCCAACGTTGATAATGCAGCCGAAACACATTTTAATATCACTTTATGTTTTATAACTCACATATATATTTTATAGAAATGTTTAAAAAAAATTTGTGTTTCATTATTTTCGTTACAAATATCTTCGATTATACGCAATTTTCTATAAACGATAGACAGAATTAGATATAACAACATATCATTGATATATCATTGGAATCAATTTACAATTCATTCACACGATTCATTCACAAGATAAGAATTCATTTATACTAAGATAAAAGATCACGACACACGTGGTCTGGTATGCGTGTTTATATCTGTCTGCGATAATCAAAGGGTTAAATAAATCAACCTATGTCGCAAACATAGCTTGAAATTACACATGCGATATCCGGGCTTCTTTCGCGGTAGACATGTGATCGCATTGGATCGAAGACGCGAAAAACTCGTATGCTCGAGGTGGATTGCCGAGCTCGTTCGCGAAGGTACTGTGAATGAACTGAATTAACTTCCTTCACCGGTACGTATTTCCCCCATACATGCATTCGGCGAATTCTTGTAAAAAAGCGGATCATGAAGATGGATGTTCAACGAATACTAATCATAACAATTTGGTCTTACGAATCTCTATTAGACATTCTCTATGAATCTATCAATTAAAAGAAACTTCTTATAATAATTTTATTCTTGAAAGCTTTTAATCTCTTTTTTTGAATTCATAAATTTTTATAAATGATAATATAATATTTATGAAAAGTCAACATTATTTTATTATATATTTTAATTATTTTATGTATATTAAAATTTGACTTACACACATAGTAAATTTTTGTGTTTCTCTCACAAGAAATAGTTAATTATATAATTATTAATTATATAATAAACTTCTATTAATTTCTTTTGATTCATTGTTTTTTTAATTAAGTCTTGAGGGATTCCTGCAAAGTGTAACAATGCTACTTTTTGTTTAAAATGATTTACTTGTATATGTATTTATAATATTGTATTCCGCCTTCGTCAGGCCAGTATTTTATTCGATTTGATGTATACGGGAGTAATATAACGGATGTACCCGAAACCCTCGGGACCTAAATCGTATGATCCGTGACGGTTCGCATGTGGTCATCGCTTGACGCAGAATATGTAACTGCAAGTAAATTTTTGATAATATTTATATTATTTATCGGCGTTTGATCATCAATTCAGCACAATTATATCCTTCATATGTGCCCCCAATCACATTTTGTCAATCACGAGTACAGCCTCGTATACTGTTCATCATCTCTCGTAAAGAATCATTCTTCGACTATTATTACAGAGCAAATTAATTTCGTGGAATTTGAAAGAAAGTTATCTATCACGAAAAACTTGATTTTCAAGCTTGACTTACAAAATAAGAAATAAATATTTTTATTCTTATTGTTAGAGAGAATAAAATCGATCTCCGAGAAGTATTTCAACTATAAATTTCTTCATATTATAAATTTCTTTATCAAAATATGTTGCTGTTATATACTTCTTCAAAATTTAATTTAAAAAATATTTAATGTTGTATATTAAACGAATATACATATATTAATTATTCTAATGTGGGAAACAAATTAAATTTTAATATTAGATATAAGTTAAAAAAATTGAAACTAATTCATTAAAGTCTCTCATTAAAATTCTAATACATCTGGGATATCAAAATAGTTTACATTTTCAATTTACTGTAGTAGAAATTACTTGTAGATTCTAAATATTTGATTAATTCCGCAATGGTATGAAAACGCGCAGTGAGTGTGATTAATTAAGATCAAAGAGGAAATGGAAAAGTTTATAATTCCCGAGGCATCTCGCCAATCTTGTTCCAACGCGAGCAGACAGGACGAATTTACTTTTGAAATTTCAAATGTATGTCAATGACCCGATTTGCCCTGCGAATCTTCATCGACCGTGTCACACTGAAATTTTTACTCGCACTTCGTTGTTACCGAATTAAAGAAAATTACGGCAATATTCGTGTATCTTCATTTATCATAAAAAATGAAAAATTCGCACCGGGAAGCACCAGACAATAACGAAACATCACATGCGGAATCGCGGTTCGTTGATCGATACAAGCCGTTAAGTGACAGACACTGTTGATTATCCATGATTATTATTGTTGTAAAGGATCTTCCGTCTCCATGAACTAGAAATCGTGATACACTCAACGAACACGATATATCCGCTTCCTATGTGAGTCTTTCCTAATTAATTATATCGGTGCCATTGTAGAAAATAAGTAAACTAAAACAAGGATTACCGAAAATTTTTATTTCTGTGAAATCAAATATACTTAATCTTCGAAATTAGGAATTGATTTTAGTCTTTGATTATTTGTATTTCTTTAGTGCGAGATAAATCTTGATTTTTCTGTGTGTTCAGATATTATTAAAGAAATATTATAATTAATATTATATAATATCTTTATATACAAACAGTATTTTTTTGATTAAAATTTTGGACAAATTAATTTAATAACGATAATATTATTGAGACAAATAACTCAGTTCGCCATTTTACCTGATTATTATTAAAATTATATGCATTAGAATATTTGTGAGTTTCTTATGTAATTTTTCGGATAAAATTCCTGGAAATATCGTGTAGATAACTGCGATCCGCCTAAATAAAGAGTACTTGTACATACAGCATTTTATCGCAGTCAGTGAACCGTTGCTTAATTATTACTAACGATACATATGACCGTTATAGGGTCATTTGTCTCTGCTCGAATAGAATATTTTACTTTATAAGTGCGGTACATTCCTCACTAAAAAAATATAATTATCTATTTTATAAATAAAAGGTTTCTATTTAAAAAGATTTCCATTAAAAGACATCAAAAATTAAAAGAAACAATCTTCAACGTTTTACTAGTTTATATAATACATGTGTTTTTCTTAAATATGTGTAAAATCGCTATTTGTAAAAGATAATATTATGCAATTATATAGTTGTAACTTTTATCATATTTCATCTGTAACTTTTAAATTTTTCTTTTGTGATTCTATTTGAATTACTTTCAGATAGTTAAAATTAAATAATATTAAATAAGATGCTCTTTTTTGCGGATTTTTTAAGATGACATCTTGCCACATGCTCCTTGGATATTACGTATACAAACAAAAACAAATGTAATTGGAAAAAGGCGAGAGATAGTGTACTGTTCATTATTGTGTCATGTATTTTTCTTTTCACATCGAGTGCACTGTTACCGATATCGCTTTACAATTTTTCATACAAAGGGATGATTCGATGATGAGCACCGTCACAGATTCGACATACACTCTCATAAGTTTTACTCTTCGAGAGAGCAAAACTCGACAACGAAAACCTTGCAATTGTGCGTATCCGGGCGCTTGTTCTTTCGATCTTAATCTCGAATGCGCGTTAATTACTCGATCGCTTTATCAGTACACTTAATATCTCACAGATATATATATATATAGATCTTTCAACGTGATTCACTTCGCTTTTCCTCCTTTGTGTGTGAATATCATACAAAATCTAAGACTATATATGCAAATGTCTCTTATAATTATATCTCGTTATTATATACGAACTGTAATTGTTAATGTATAATACGCGGCGGTATTTCTTGTGTGCTATCTTAACCATTAAGTTAATTTACAAAATTCGGGCCTATCAATATATAGTTGACGAACACGGAGACGACGGTGACTTACATTCCTCGTAAAAAATTACGAGCTCAAATCTCAAATAAATTTCGCATTTTATTTTTATATTTATCTAAAAAAAAGATAGAGAAAAAGATATAATTATAATCACGCGCTCTTCTTAACATCGGTGCAACTTAAATCTAATTAGGATATGAATTGTATTGCAACTTGATGTGCATCGCAGTTCTCAGAAGCGTCGATGTGACATCTTTCGACATCGTTCTTAGTACATTGAATGGTTTTCTTTTTTTTTCACATTTAACCGCCGTCTCCTTTGATCGTTACAGATCTCTTAAACACATAACATACGTCACGCATACGTCCTCACAGGGCACACTCCTCTGTCATTCTCACAACGTTCCAGCCGATTACGTGATGATACACATACATACGCACTTCTAATATATTCTTGAGTTATCACTTATAAGAGAATATCTCGAACTTTAAGAAAAATGAATGAAATATTAATTATTTAATCTGTGAGTTTTTTATTTATAATTTTCTTCAAAAAACGTTAAAAATCAATTATTTTTAAAAAATAACTTAGATTGCGATAACCATTGTTACAATTAATTCTGTTTTCAGATGTGGAATAAATAGTTAAGCTGGTTGAAGTTAGATGAGAAACAAGTAATTAATCATGATAAATTTAATATATTTATTTTTTATATAATTTATAAAATATTTTGTGATTCATGATTCGAGATATTCTTGTATTAGTCAAAATGTGATAACAGTAGAAAGACGAAAAGGAGCATCATTCTATATTATTCACATTCTTATAATTTTATCTGTAAAGAAATGAAGTTATTACGCGCATACACAGATATAGATTTCTATTACATAAATGTTTGTTTTTTTTCATTGCGGTATTTGTTCCCATAAGAAAAGTTTTGAAATTAATAAGTAATTTTTAATTTTAAAGATGTACAGTAAATCGCTTATGTGACAATAGATCCAGGATCACTATAGAGACAAATAATTAATTAGTGTCTCGTGGTCCAGCTTATCTTCCAAGATTGTCTCATAAATTACGTTGGCGACTTTTCGAGAGCGAGAATAAGTAGAGAACCAGCAAGATAATTTATTAAAAAATTCCAAAGTCCCTTATGCTAAAAATATATATATATATATATACATACATAAATTTTAGTTTTTATTATATAACTCTTATTCACGAATTATTATAGTTATATAATAAAAACTAAAATTTATGTATGTATATATATATTTTTTTTTTTAATTTTATTTTTTTGGAAAGTAATCTTTTAATACATTAATAAGATTTTTGCAGTTTTAGTTAAAATGATATCAAACATGATGATACATAACAAAAATATGTTATGCTTCTAGATAAAAATTATCCGTCGCGTTGATGTGTCATTTTATTTTATAACTGTGCAAAAATTATTCTATTAAAATTACTCTAAAAAAGATAAAAGTACAAATTTTAGTTTTTGTAGAGATAAGTCGACTGCCAGATAGACATAACAATAGACTATTGTCTATCTATTGGCTTCGAGGTTTTCACATTCGCTCGAAACAGAGGGATCATAAAGGGACATTTTCGTCATATAAAAGATAAAAATCTCTCGTCGCATAAGCGATATTTTTATTCTATAACATTCCGTTAGAGTTTATCTTTGAGATTTGTTTTACTAAAAAAATTAGGCCACGTGTGTGCATATCTCAATTAACATATGCATTTTGATAGGAATTTTTAATTGCAACAAATTCAAATAAAACAAATTGTGCTAATATTGTTAGAATGATGCGAAAGTCATACATTCCTCTTCCTTTTTCTCTCGCATTCATAGGCCTCAGATTATTAACATAACTCTTTCACACATGCAATATTAGTGGGAATTTTACAGTATCAAGTTTATTAATTATCAGTTTGTAAATAGCTGAGCATATTATCCTCATATCGAACCTCATCGCACACAATTGTGAATAATTCTACTCTTCCTGGCCACATCGGGATCCGATGAATCATGTAAGTGAACGAACTGTCGCTTTTCCTTTAGATGACCAGTTTTGTTCCGTTCGTCTTTTGAATGTAAAAATCGTAAATGTAAAAATAGAGTTACATTTGCAACAACAGCCGATGCATGGGATTATCGGATCCCTCAGTAAGACTGTGCGTGGTGACCAGGAAAAGTCGACGTCATTCACTCGATTTATCAAAAGGAATTGTTGCCATTCTAATTAATAGCGACGCGATTAATATATATTTCAATGAGTAGTTGAATCTTAGTTCTTACGAGTATTTTCCATTTATTTTTTGCAAATAAAAGTATGTTAATTCGATGGGACATAGGTTCCGTTATACTATAGGCAATAAAAGAATATTATTCTCGTTATGCTACAATCGACAAACATCATTTACGAGTCTCGGATCATGTCATTCTATTTGGAATTGCGTCACGAATTCGAGAAGAAATATAATTTTCAATATACAAAGTAAACGTTATGAAATTATTGCTCATAAATTATTTCTTTCTATTCTTTACTCAAGAATAAAATTCTTGATATGAATTATACAAAATTTACATGTAAAATTATGATTTGTTAAATTGTATAAAACGTATAGTTATAAAAAATAGATAAAATATAGAACATAATTAATTGACAAGAGCTCATTAGACAAATTGAATTTCTTATCTTGGAGTTCAAAGATTAGATAAAAATTTGTTTATTATGACATATTTTAGAGTTTTTATTATGTGGCGAGAGAGATTATTATATATTAATTAATTTCGTTAGACAGAGAGAGAGTAAAATAATTAAAACCGGAAAAAAATAAAAAAGAGAGTAAAAAATGTTTAATTAATCTTTGAGATTTAAAGAGAGAGAGAGAGAGAGATCAGCTTCGCAACTTCACAGATTAATCTACCGATCACTTGATTCGTCTATTTTTCTGTTGTGCGATTTGAGGCTAAAAACAAATACGAATCTCCTTTGCACTTTGCGTCGTTCGCCATTTACAATATCTTATATCATTCATTAGTACAAATTTTAATCTACGCTTAATTAATACTTTTTTTGCCGATCACTAATTAAGTAGTAATATGTCGGCTGGATCTCGTGTCTCATCAAAAGATCTCTGGCGGAATGGTCTCTCTCGTTTATCTCTAGATCGAGATTAAAACGGCTATACGAGAATCAGTAGTGATGAATATATAAAAGAGATACACTACAGAATCGAACCGAAGGAAATTCTCGTGCAAAAACGATGTAAATCAAACAGATTGAAGAAACTATTATATGTATTACTAATACAGAGTTCTGTTTTCTAAGAATTGTCTTCTCTTACGATCGCGTCTTGTCAATCAGGCATTCGAAAATTGACCCGCGTGAGGGTTAACTGCGAAATTACTGTTGATCGCAGGTCTTTCCGTCCGCGTGACGTGCATTGCAACGTTATATAAAAACAAATGTGGCGCAATAAAATAAAATGCTACATGGAAGGTACGTCTCTGTAGTAGTAATCGCAACGATAGCTATTCGGCTACTAATCTGTCGCAATAATTTTATTTCAGCTATTGATTTCGATCATATCAATGCTTTAATATTATTCGCTGCTGCAGATAATAGGAAGCTATGTTTAATGAGTCATGTAAATAAATGTGAAATAAATTTATCAAAAAAAGCTTCGTCTAAAGATATTATAATTTATAAAATGTAATATAATATGTATATTATTATTATTAATAATTATTCATATATAATCGTATCAAAGCACGTTTCATTAGTAAAAAAGATATATCAAATTCTACGAAAATATGTGTGTATAAGAAAAGAAGACTTATTATATAATTATAGAGCACTATTTATAATTATAATAAATATTTGCCTCACTTTTATTTACATGGCTCGTTTTGCAGGCGTGGTTTGTCGCTGCTATTCGTGAGCTTAACTGAAGAAGTATAGAATAATTACATCGGTTATAAACTAAAAATAAGACGAAACGTCGCATGACCCTGCTGAGAACATACGTATAACAACGGGTATATCGAAGAGAAGGGGGCGCACGAAACAAGTATTGTCACACCATTCATCGATACAAATAGCAACAGCGATAGGCGATAGTAACAATGTATATATATATATATATATATTTATAAATACAGGCAGCGAATATTCTAACTCTTTAGAGGCTCTCTATCAACTACAACATAACCGAAGCGAGTTCTTTATGCGGGGTAACGACTAAAAATTAATATATATCTATTTGTCATGTAAAATAAGGCGGGACATCTAGCGCATTTAACATTAAAATGAGTTCTCCAAAGTGAGATACGAAATAATATCAAAGTCAGATTTGTAAATTCTTTTCTTTCGAAATTTTAGTTTTATATAAAAAAAAAGTATATAAATCCTTTTGTATAAAGGATAAAATCTTCTTTAACAAAATCTTTTAAAATAAAATAATTAAAAAAATAAAAGTATATATATAAATATAC